TATTAGAGGGTGTTTTTTTTTTTGTAAATGCTAATCTGAATGAATTTTAATTTTTTTGCAGTTACCTTTTCAGAAATAATTTAATAGGCATAACCTTTACTTTCTGAAGGCACTGCTGAATCAATACAGGAGAAATGTCGTCCCTAAAAACTTCCCTTCCATATGGTTCCAGAAAAAGCTGCCTGGGAGTGCTGCAATCATCTTTTCTAAGCTTTGGGTTAATAACACAACAAACCAAGGCTGTGGGGTTTTTAAATGAGGGGTTTTTTTTCTGTGGGATCAGGAACGCTGAGGTTTGAGACCCGCAGGAGCAGGGATTTGGGTTTGGGATCCTGCCACGGCTTGTGTGGGATTCACCTTCCGAGGGGACGCGTGGAAGTGGTGGAAAACGGCAAAAAAAACCCCCAAACTGGAGGAGAATTTGGTGCAGAATGCCTTGGTGTGGCAGAGGGGACAGGGTGGCACTGGCAATGGGTGACACTGGGTGACACCGGGTGTCCCAGGGCAGGGCTCACCACGGCTCTGCTCTGTCCCTGTGGTGGGCACGGAGCCAAATTGTGCAAAGTTTGGGTTTTTAGGAGAGGAATGAAGGTGTCAGAGCGGCCCGGGAGTGCCCGAGGAGCGGCCGCAGGAGCGGCAGGAGCTCTGGGGGACCTGGGGATGTCCGAGAGGTTCTATAAAACCCGGGGATGTCCGGGAGGCTCTGAGGGACCCGGGGATGTCCAGAAAGCTCTGACAGGACCCAGGAATGTCCGGGAAGCTCTGTAAAACCGGGGGATGTCCAGAAAGCTCTGCAGGACCCGGGGGTGTCTGGAATGCTCTGTAAAACCCAGGGATGTCCAGAAGGCTCTGTCCGGGTGTCCCTGGGCAGTTTTCGCCTCTCTATCTCTGTCCCATTCATTCCCCAGCGAGGCAGAACAGCGATTTTGTTCTCTCTGCGAGGCAGAGCAGGGATTTTTTGCCTCCTCCGGGCAGAGCCCGAGCTCGGGGACTCCGCCGTGATGAGAGTGTCGTAATTAGGGGCTGATCAATCTCCCCGGGCCCTCGGACGGAGCCCCCCGGCCTCTCCGCTCCGCTGCCGGCACAGACTCAGCCCCGCTCCGCTCGCAGCTCCCGTGTCTGCRGGCGGGAGCGATGACAGCAATAACCGCTGTCGGTGTTTTCCTCATTTAAACAAATAAAGCTGACAAATGCCGGAGTTCTCCGCAGCTCCGCAGTGCTCGGAACGCGCACAGCGATTATTCATCCGCTGCCAGCGCGGCTCCAGCACCCAGCGGTGCCCATTAGCATTTCAGTGCCACCGCCAGCGCCGAGTTCCACTGGAAAACAAAAGATGATGGCTCTCATTTGCACAATAATGCGGAGGGTTGGGCTGATCGGGGTTGCTGGAGGCTCAGGTGAAACGCTGCTGCTGTTTGTGAGGTGCCCGGTTGGGTTTGCGTGGGTTCCTCAGCCGGTTCCCCTCCCC